TCGTAATATAATCATTAAGATAAAATTACGTTCTTTAAAGTTACTAAAACTATTAGAACTCTCATTCAACCACATGATACTAATAAGACAGATATTATAATAGAATCGTACCATAAACTATTCATAACAAAAAAATATCCATCAACGTTCATTCACTAAATACTATTTTTCATAAGAAACGAATCTAGCATAGGAAAGAAATATCAACATTAACATGAACAGTAATGTCCACCTAGGATATCTAAGACCAACCTAAAGTGAACATATCCATAAATGATTACGAAAGTTGAAATAATTAATAACATTAGGTCGTAATCTCTTTGCAATGAACTAGGATGGAATCATAAAATTCCGTAGGAAGTTCTTTCGGACTGTTCCCCAATCAAGAAAAGACCCTTGCAGTTTCCTTAGGTTTGCGCCACGGCGCATTCATTATGCACCCATTCATCCCACGCGTTGATGTCCTCGTTGCCATGACCCTAATGTATCTTCTTAGGAAGGCTTCCGCAATCTTATCATATCTCAATGTTTTAGAGTTCTCGAAAACATTAAGCAACACCCTTTGCTCTTGTCTAGGAAGAGAGTCATAAAAATAATTAAATTTTATATCTTCTGTCATCAATCCTCCATGCCAAATAACTTCTTGTATCATTTTGTTGACTTTAACAACATGGGTCAACATATCAATATGGCCATTCCAAAAACAGCCAACTAACTCTCTTCTCTTCCTCTCTAAGTCTGCCCTTTGTTCAGCCGTCCTAGGGATAATAGAGGTTCGATACCTTCGTACCATCGTTCTTGCAACAAATGCAGAAAAAATCAAAGCATTACTTTTTAATCCATGATACAATATTGCAAGAAACACATTCTGCCCCCCTTCAGCACCCTTTTTTTTGTCGGTGGTCAATGCTGGTCAACGATCAACGGATGACCATGTCAGGTCAACGGGTCATACGGGTCTGCGGGTAGAGTCATCGGGTCAAAAAACTGAGTCGAATTGGACCAATCGAGTTAGGTCAGGACTGCCGAGTCGAGCCGAGCCAGGCCTTTCGGCCCATGGAGAATAACCGGCGTGGCTGACGTCAGCGTGATGTTAGCCATGTCCACACGCGCTTGCATGGCGCGTGCCGCGCACGTGCGTGCGGTAACCACTGCGCACGTGCCAGCGAAGCCGCCACTTGCAGTCGCGCGTAGAGGCACGTCCGACCTCCCCCGGTGGTGTGCCACCTATTGTTTTTCTCATCTCGATGAGCACTACGACCCTACGCTTTCAAAAATAAATTTTGATGCATGAAAATCGAGAAACGACCTCGAACAGTATGGCCAAGTGTTAGTTTTTCGTTCCCGAGCGTTCGTCCACGCCGTTTCACGAATTCCGGCCGACAATCCATTTTATAAACATGTTAAACGATCAGGAAACAAGAACACATACTCTGATACCAATGTCAGAAACGTATTCCTAGAAATACGGAAAGACGGAAACAAATTCCTAAAAGACGAAAAACACGAACTATCGAGTAACATCAAAACTTTGCGCAAACGTGCTCAAGAGAACTTGAATCATTGATCGTCTAAAGTACATCACCAAGAAGAACGTACCTTGTTTTTCACGAATTAAATGCTCCAATTGCAAATTCAAGAGTTCTTGGCGGATTCCACTGCGGGGCGGAACTTGCGGAACTTCGTATGCACCTTGGGAGTTATTTTTTTTTAGAACGAATGTTCTTTAAAGAAGACGATAGATACTTTATCACGTATCTACACACAACCTCCTTAGAGATAACTTCTCAATTTTTATTTCACAATAGAAAGCAAGACATAGTAAGCGCCATTTTCCGGCTCCAATTCAATGAGCTTCCTCGCTGCAAGTTTGCTCAAGTTTAACTTTCCATGAGCTGTAGAGCCTACTAAAATTACTCTACACATGGTTTTGGTTGGCTTAAAAGTCTTTCGCCTTATCAACTCAAAAGCATCTTCTTGACACCCACTACACATTAGGAGGTTAACCACACATTCATAATGCTTGATGCCAGTAGAAATTCCAAACTCTCCATTAATCAGCGCGCTGAAAATTTCTCTACCCTTATTTATCAATCCTGATTGACTACAAGCAGAAAGCATTGCAACCAAAGTTTCTTTGTCCGCCTTAACCCCTTCTTGTTGCATTTCACAAAACCAACTCACTGCCTCATCACCGTTTTTAGCGAGAGCTAGCCCTTTAATCACCATATTGCAAGTTGTCGTGACCTCACCTCGGCTAATAGATTATTAAGACTAAGCCTAAATTGGGCCCTCCCAAGCCCAATTTGGGCCCTCTCAAGCCCTACCAATTCGTGACTTAGGATTAAAGTTCTTAACGTGGAAATGTTTTCATGCTTGGAGTCGTCACTAATCTATTTGCGGTAGGTCGATTAGAAACCTAAATAAAACATAGGGAGATATGTTTTATTTTTACGAACCAGAGTTCTAAGCTCGGGGACTTGATTACGCTAGATCTAGTCTAATATCCTTTCGGTACATTTTCTTTTCAAGAAAAAATGTTTTGGCAGATAGTCTGGATCCATTTTATTACCTAGATACTAATATGTAGGGGTGACCATGCGGGTGCGCAATCCATCAATTTAACACCCAATAAGGAAAGCGATATATAAATTGCTAGATTAGGAGAATAGCGTACCTTAGAGCAACGAAAACATCTGCATTGTTAGTTAGAAAATCATATAAACAGACCTACTATGATTTCTAATTATCAAAGCAATCCACTCAATGTATTTCTTTTTGGGATTTCTCTTAAATAAACGAAACTAGCCTAAGTGCCATGACGTGCAAAGTATGACATGCAATTAATTAAACCTAACATGCAAACTATATGACATGCAATTAAATGACCTAACTCTAATGACGGGCAAATGATGTATTTTTTGGTATTTTTTAATTAAAATTCGAAATTAAAAATTACTCAAATTAACATGCAATCTATCCTAATTAACTCATTTTTTGGGGATTTTCATGAAAATTCGAAATCTTAAAATACCCTAAATAATCTATTAGGGTTAGAATAACACCTAATTTAAACTAGGAGATAAATTATCTTAAGTCCCAATTTAAACTAAATAATTATCCTATCTTCTAGATACATTTAGGATTCCTTAAACATGCAAAACTTCTAATTTAAATCATATCTAACATATTTTTGGATTTTCTTTTTAAAAGGAAAATAAATCACACGAAAGATAACAATCACGCATCAACCAATTTGCACAATCCACAAAATTATTCTTATCTTATTCGAATTAGGAGAGGGAATCAAACTAACGGTCATATCTATAGGGTTATAGATATCGACGGAAAGCCGATTTTTTAATTTGGAAAGCAGATAAAATCTATTATCGTATCCAAGTGGTTATGGATAAGATAACGATTTCTATATCGCCGCATATCGTACTTTAGGAATAAGGTCGGATAGTCGTCCAGATAGATTGCTAAATTAAGAAAAATTCCTAATTCGAGTATCTTAGGATATTGCGGATATCACAAACATTATCCTAAGATATCTAGCTAACCACCAAAGAATATCCACGAAATATTCAAACACCACAAACTTAAGAAATTAAATATTTCGGAAAATATTTGGATAATGATCTTACCTAATTTCGCGGATAACTTTCAAATTTGAACTCGGATTGAACTTGGGCTTGCAGATCACGGGACAGCTGACGACGGGTGACCGATGGTGGCACAGGGGCGGCTCGGCAAGGCTCCAAGCTAACGGACGAAGCGGCGACGGTGGAGTCCTTCACGGTCGTGGTTGGCACGGTGGAATGATGGCCTGCGGTGATACTGGCAGCTTTCGGGAAAAATCGGGGAAACTCGCCAAGTTGCAGTGGTGGTGATGAGCTCGCTTAATGCCGACCGGCATCTCCTGGATTTGTCGCGGGTGCGACATGGAGAAAGGCTCGGTTGCCTTTCTTGCTCGTGACTTTTGTGTTGAGTTCGTAACCCCCTTTTGTCTTTTCCTTCGTATTATGGCTGGGAAGAACTTCGCTTTAATGAACTTGACTGTGAGCGGATGTTTGACCAAATTGTCAGACTGCACTCACGAGGAAGACTACAAACAAACATCACCGCTTCATCACCATCTTCAGACGCTCACGATCTCTCCTTCTCTCTTACTATTCTTTGGCCGTGTACAATGTTGTGTATTTATGTGGCCTCCCCCGTGAATGGATCTTTCCATCCTCGGTTCCTTCTATCGTGTGCTGAACGTTGGTCAAGCGGTGGTCCGGCGCAGCAACGAGGGGACGGGCAATGGATCGGCAGCAGCAGCTGGAGCACTGGTCGGGATCGGATCAGCAGCGGCTCACGTCGGTGTCGGGTGGAAGCGGTGGTGTCAGGTCTAGGCACAGCAGCGGCAGCTCATGGACGTCACTAGATCGGCATGCTAGTGGACGTCGGGCAGCGGCGGCAGCGAGCACAGCGTAGGCATGGGCGATGCGGGCACGGCGGTGGTTGCGCACGTACGCGGCCAACTCTCTCCCTCTCCGTCAAATCTCACGTGTATTTCTCGCTCTCTCTAAAAATTATGATCTCCGAAATTATGAGAGTCCAGATTATGAGACATAACGACATATTTATATCGCATACCTAAGTTAATTGGCCGGGCTTTCTAATCCTTATGGGCTTTGGCTTAGGCTTTATCATCTAATTTTATTTTAATTCCAAATGGGTTGAATTGATTTGAGCTTTTCTTTAATTAAGCTCAAATTAAGACAACCAAGACCCATTACCCCATCCTCCGAATGAGCCGAATTTCACTCGACGCCCGAGCTCGGTTTACGCGATGAATTTTCAGCTTACTTGTCGCCATCGGTCCCATGCGGAATGCAATTAACATATATAAACCTAAGTTATATGCTATACAATTTTAATATTTTTATTTAGGGGTTAAATTTTAATCCTTAATTTTCTATGTAATTAATCACTAAATGATCGGTCGAAATTTAGGCGTTTACACAGGTCAAAACACTCTTCTCCTTTACGCTATGGAAAGCTTTCAATCCATCATCAACTCTCCTACATCTCATGTACATATTGACCAAAGCAGTCCCCAGAGTCGCATCCAATTCCCAACACCGTCTCCTCACAAAATCATGCACCCACATGCCCATTCCGAGCTCGCGACCGCTCGAACAAGCGGCCAACACATTCACCATCGTGACCCGATTCGGGTCTAACTCGGGCAACAACATCCGCTCGAACGCCATCAAGACGTCGCCGAACCTCCTAACCTTCCTGTACCTGGTGATGAGGACGGTCCACGACACGACGTCTCTGCGGGGCATTTCGTCGAACATCCGGCGGCAAAGCGCCATCTCCCCCACCTCCGGACGCGTAAAGATCGAGCAGCGAATTCCGGACGAAGATATCCTCGACATGGCCCGTTTTGACGACGTGGGTATGCACGCAGAGCCCCCGTCCGAACTCCCCAGAGTCGGCCAGGGGACTTGAGGAGGAAAGGGAAGGCGAAGCTATTGGGACGGATGGCGTCCTCGCGCATGCGGGCGTGCGTACACCCAGAAACGAACGCCAGGGGTGCGGGAGAGAGAGAATGCTCTGATGACGGTGTTGCGGACGAGGACGCGGGGTCGCGGGAGGGCGGGCGACGAAGGGCAGGGCCAGGCGCGAGAGGCCGAGGGAGGGAGGGAGTGGCAGGCATCGATGAAGCGCGACGCGAGGGCGGGCGGCGTCCGAGCCGAGGTCCAGGATGACGAGCCGGGCGTGGACTTGGCGGGCGTGGTTCGGGCCGGCGCAGCGAGCGGTCAGGGCGTGGAGGGTGTGGCCAATCGCGGTCTGAAGGTGGGCGCGCGGTGTCATGAACTCGGGTGAAATCTTTCGCGGCGGAAAGGTGGCGTCGACCGTCGAGAATCAAGATTCCGAAACGTCTCTTTCGCCATTGCTCAGCAAAAGTCGAAGCTTCAAAAAGAAGTAAAAAGAATGGAAGACGAACAAGAAGATGCGCATCCGGGGAATCGAACCCCGGTCAGTACCGTGGGAGGGTACTATGATACCACTACACCAGATGCGCGATTTGCTCATCATTTGCTCGTTTAAAATATATATCATTAATACTAACTGTGCCCAATACTCGTTAAAATCCGATCAGTTTTTTTTTTTTCGAAAATAAATATTTCGTTCATATCTCATACATAAGAGGTTCCAAACAAAACAAATCTCAAACGGTGAAGTAGAACAACAAAGCACAAATTGTGATGATAAGCACACTCTCTTCTCACAAGAACAGATCTATCTTGGTATCAAAACAAAACGGACTGTATCGATCATCGAATCTTGCGTCGTCTTAAGTGATGAGCACACACCGTAATCTTTTTCTCCTATTGCTATGGTTTGCCCAGTGGGCGGTGCATGCCTAGATTTATCGTCTTCAACACCATCGTTGTACGGAGATACAAAAAATAGATTGAACAAACTCATAAATCTAGATTTAGATCTAGAAAGGTTGAACAACCACATAAATGCCTCCAAGGAACTTCCAGACCTGAGAAGAGCCCCTAGATCTATATCGGGAAATTAGAACTTCCGAGAAAGTCATATAACCACCTCCAGTGCCGCATGAACTCGCCGTATTCCTCCTCGATCATGTCTAACTTCTTGGTCCGGAGGATCTTAAGAACGGGTTAATTCCTAACGATGGAAGCGGAAGACATGGCATTTTCGTAGGTTTCTAATGTCTAGTGAACGATCACGACCGCATGCACACTGCCACACGCATGGTGTACGTGTCCGAGGAGGAGAGAAAGGGGAAGAAAATGGAGGTTCAGGCGAGAGAGGTTGAAGGTGGGGGCGAGAGAGACAAAGTCCAGAGGGAGGCAGCGAAGGAATGAATGGGGGGGGTCATCGTTGAATATCAGCCTTTTAATTGAGTGGGTGAGAAAAACCATCATGAGTGCTTTCAAGCAAGAGGAAGATGATACGAAATCGATGTGATAAGACATTGGAAAAGAAATACATCACGGGCACGACATGACCATCGGCGGTTTTATTCTAAGGAGTTTCGCCATCCTCCGTCGATTCTTTCGTTGGATCGCCGACATGGACATCGGGATGCTTTGGGTGGACAAACGAACACGCCGCTCTTCGATTCGCTTGGTTTGGCGATCGGAGCTCCGGTGTGGTGTTGAATGTTCCGTGGGCTTTTTCGAAGTTTCTAGAGACGCATGAACTTTTTTCTAATTACAAATCTTAGTTAATGAGAAGGGAAAATGACACAAATGATCCATGAATTTTACTTTAATGTGTAATGTGATCCCTAAATTTTTAATTTATTCAATATAATCCCTAAACTTTAGCTCAATGTACAATGTCATCCCTGAACTTTTAAATTGTTCAATGCGATCCTTGAACTTTTAATACATATTCAATTTAGTCCATTTACTATATGAAAATATTCAATGTTATCATTGAACTTGAATTAATGGAACGAGAACATTGAACAATTTCATATAATTCAAAAACTAAAATGAACATCATCAAAAGTCTAAGTACTACATTAAATAAATTAAATGTTCATGAACCATATTGTATATTAAGGTAAAGTTCAGGAATCACTTTACATATTGAACTAAAATTCAGGGTTTTGTTATTCCTAACGAGAAAACCAACATGATTTTCCCTTTTGAATTTTTTTCCAAACCGATAGATTTTGACCTACGATGAGGGGTTTGAATGAAAGAGAGAAAGCCATACCCAGGATGTGCTCAAGTGGGAACGTTTGCTCTTAAGATTACACATGAACTAAGGAACATCTCCTAATTGATCAGTAGTGCACTTAGGGCTAAGATATGTTTGCTCATATTGCTTAAACTCTGGAGAAGAAAACGAAATTTAACTAATCCCATCCACCTATACCATAAGAGTCTCCAAATCTCTCTCTCTCTCTCTCTCAGGCACTTCACAATCACAAAACAGAACATGGTCATCACATTCGCAAATAATAGTATGGGGTCGTTCTTCAACTTTAGAAGGCAAAGCTACTTCCGAAACCATAACATTTACACAGTCATTATCATGTCATGCATCACCGTGTTTACCAAATACTCGTCCCTATTTTCCTCTCCTAAAGAGAGAGTGGGCCATTTTGGCTGGTGGAAGTTGTTGGTCTCTCCTGATGTGAACGTGGGTGTAGATGGCTAAAAGTGAACCTCATTGGACTCTCAGTACGTTTAGCTGCACAATATAAACCACTCCTTTCTTGGATCAACCATAGAGTTCCTTAGCTCGCATTGCTTGTACTAATCTTTGACATCTAATTCATTCGAGCTGTATGATTTCCGTGACGTAGCAAGGCGGCGTGCGCAGAAATTTCAGCTCGACGAGGCTCCGTGGCTATCTAAGGAGCCGGGTGTCCGCTGTCTTAATCGGAACTAGTTTGTTTTCCTACGCAAGAGAATGGGTGAAGCAAGGAAACTTCTCACTTATGTCTCAAAACCCTAATATCTCCATAAGGAAGAGAGATCATTTTCGATGAATATTTTGTACTTCTTCACAAGTTAAAAACTCTATCCTCTAAGACGGCATGTTTTCGGGGTATGGGTTCGCTAGTCAACATTGATCTTGGCAGAGACATGCAACTCAGCACCAACGTTGCGTCTATAAAACCTACTTTTCGTCCTCGTCCCATGAACCTCCCTGCGCATCATCTCCTTCGCTCAATACAAGGAAACTAATCCAACCTTTACACAGAACATGAAACCCTCGTGCTTCCGCGTCATCTTTCTTCTTCCTTTCCTCCTAAAACTTGGCTTGGTCGCCGGTAGCCGCGCGTTCTGTGGGCCGATCCCTGCTACCGATGCTGAGCTGATCCATGTCGCGATGAACTTGGAGTTCTTGGAGGCTGAGTTCTTCCTCTACGGCGCGCTCGGCAAAGGGCTCGACAGCATCGCACCGTACCTGGCTCTGGGTGGCCCACCCCCGACCGGAGGCAAGAGGGCCAATCTCGACCCTCTAGTCCAGCAGATCATCGAGGAGTTCGGCTACGAGGAAGTCGGCCATCTCAGGTCATTAGTCATCTAAAACTAGGATGCATATGCATGAATCTTTAGCTCTTTTTTCATTCAGTTTGGTATATCAGTTGAGTAGCCAATGAAAGAGTGAAGCTAAGCTACTGATTGTATCTTTGTGGTTGGGTATTTCAGGGCAATTTATACAACAGTAGGTGGAATTCAAAGGCCGCTAATAGACATAAGCGCGCACAATTTTGCAATGATAGTGGATGAAGCTCTTGGGCACAAATTGTGGCCTCCGTTTGACCCATACTTGGACACGGTCAACTATCTCTTGGCTTCATATCTCATCCCTTATGTGGGATTAACTGGTTATGTTGGTACCATCCCCAACCTTTCCAACTTCACCACCAAAGCCGTAAGTGCATAATTTCTCTCCATTTGACCTCGAAATGATCTTAATTTCAACTGTTTTGTAGTTTTGTTCCTAAAAAATTCAGAATGATTTGGCGTTGTTTCGTTCGATATTCTGAATTTCTTCGAAAAAGTAGCTCGTGCGCGATGCTTTCGCTTATATTTATAATACCGTGTTGCCATGTCACGTGTTTGATCTTGTCATAACTTACCGTCCTGGCTTTGATGTTGTTGTATACAATCAATCCCTTCAAGAGAGGTCGTCTGAGTTGCTTTGTGGTTGCAGCTCGTGGCGGGGCTCTTGGGCGTGGAAGCCGGTCAAGACGCGGTGATTCGGACGCTCCTCTACGAGCGGGCCCTCGAGAAGGTCGTGCCGTACGACATCACAGTGGCGGAGTTCACCAACTCGTTCTCCATCCTGAGGAACGAGCTCGGCATGTGCGGGATCAAGGACGAGGGCATCATCGTGCCCCCGGCGCTCGGGGCCGAGCAGAGGATCGAGACCAACGTGCTGTCCGCGAACAGGTCATCTCTGTCGTACCCGAGGACGCCACAGGAGGTCCTGAGGGTCGTGTATGGGACCGGGGACGAGCACATCCCCGGCGGGTTCTTCCCGGACGGCGCGAACGGAGAGATCGCCAGGAGATTCCTGGAGAAGAAGGCTTAGGGAACATCTGATGTATGGCTGTGGAGTGGACTGAATAAGTTTCAATAATCAGGATTTGTTTGCCGATTAATAGCTCATATGATATCAACCCAGATTGACGAGCCTTTCGCATTCATGTGGTCTACTGTATCATTGGAGTCCGCCTTTAATACCAAGAGAAAAGGATCTTGAAAGAAAAATATTCTTTTTGCTAGAGATTTCGAAAGACAATAGGTGCAATTTGAGTAAGTGAAATCTTAAAATGCCTGTCTATGGCAAAAATGCGATACTACGAGAGTTATTTCTGGTCGAACGTTCGCAATGTTGCATAGGTCCTAGTGTCACGGCCCGAAGAATTGGATCGTTCCTGAGGTTTTCTGGACGATGGACCGTGACCGACCCTTGGACAAGAAGGCGGGCCCCGAGTGTTCTAGTACTAGGGTTTTCTTGATGTATTCTAGAATACTCCTGGGGGCGATACGGTAATTGTACCCTCCCGTAATAAATGCGGTAGGTGGGGTAGTTGGGGGAGTACGATCTCGACCGTCGAGATCAGGGTAAGATCTACGGATACGGTCAGCCCGATACTTGTATATAATGGGGTCTCCTCCCCCTCATTTTATCATCTCTCATTCTCAAGAAGCAATAGAAAGTTCAGAGCTTCTCTCTCTAGAGTTTCTCTCTCTAAAGTTCTTGTGAGTGTGAGCGTGGGAAGGCTTACTTGGGAAGAAATTCCTAAGGCCGCACGGGTGTGGGAACGCTAGATCGATCGACCCGTGACAAGTGATATCGTAGCAACGATGGGTGAGGCGCGACCGAACCACGATCCGATGTATCGTCCCAAACCGAGAAGGGCGGAGGCGATGATCGTGGGAGGGCTCCCGAGAAGCAAGGCGCCAAGGCAAAGAAGGACCGTGCTAGCTCAAGTTCGAGGGATATGGTTGGTGACTTGGAGACCCGCATGGCGAAGGTGGAGATCGCCATGGCTGACGTCCAAGGAATGGTCGAGGACATGTCCGCACGTATCGAAGGAGGCGAGACCGGAACGGGGGAGCTTGAGGCCGAGGTGCTAGAGCTCAAGTCCGGGTTCGGAGAACTCCGAGGGGAGATGCTGGGCAACTTGACCGACACAACCAATGAACTTCAGCAACGGGACGATGCCTTGGAGGCCTTGGTGGAGGCTATGCGCGCGGAGATGACCGAACTTAAGGCGAAAGTCGCCGAAATGGAAGGAGCACGCGTGAACGGGTGATCACAGTGCAAGCCGATCCACGAGTGGACGCCCCAAAGCCAAAGGAGTTCAAAGGCTCACGGGTGGCCAAGGACGTGGACAACTTCCTATGGTACATGGAGCAAGACTTCCTAACAATGGGGATCACCGACAGGGCAATTCGGGTAAGTACCGCGGCTATGTACTTGTCTGATAATGCACTTTTATGGTGGCGTCGTAGGAGTGACGATCGGAGTGGTGAACCGATCACTACATGGGAATTGTTCGTCGAGGAATTCCGACGACAATACTATCCCGCTTATGCGGAGGAAGAGGCTCGAGACGAACTCCGTCGCCTTGAGCAAAAAGGAGGTGTCCGTGATTATGTCCGGAAGTTCTCGGAGTTGCTACTCCAAATTTCGTCCATGAATGATACGGAGGCCTACCACCAATTCATGGGTGGCTTGAAACCATAGGTTAAGCAAGAGTTAAAGCGGTGCAATGCGAAAGACCTTTCAACGGCCATGTCCGTGGCCGAGGCCCTGGTGGAATACAAATCGACTCCCGTAAGCAAGCCGGACACCCGACCGAGGGACAAGGGCGTTGGTGGGGGAGATCGTAACAAATTCCACCGCCCAGGTGGAAGCAAACTACCAATGGCCCCTCCAAGGGCGAGGCCAGAGTCAAGCGGAGGAGAACACAAGAAGGGACGTATCTTCAAGTGTTTCTTGTGCGATGGTGCGCACATGGCTCGAGATTGCCCAACTCGAGGCAAGCTAGCGGCGCTTGTCAAGGCACACGATGAGGAACGAGAGGGGACGCGACTCGGTTCGTTGCGAATTCTAAGTTCCATAAAGTCCAAGAAGGCAAATAAGCCTAAGGGCTTGATGTTCGCGGACGTGACGATCGGAGGAACCACGATGAGTGCACTCGTCGATACGGGGGCATCCGACCTATTTATCTCGGAAGAAGCCGCGAAGAAACTCAATCTTCGGGTTGAGAAAGGGGCCGGTTGGCTTAAGACGGTGAACTCCAAGGAAATTCCTACCAACGGGTTGGCTAAGGATGTGGAGTTCCAACTCGGACAATGGAAAAGCAAAGAGACGATCGAGGTAATTCCACTTGACGATTATGACTTTGTCATTGGCTTGGGATTCCTTGATAGAATAGATGCTCTTATTGTCCCATTTGCCGATTGTATTTGTATCTTGGACGCACGTTGTCAATGTGTGATCCCGGTCAACCGAGAGTCGGGTCGTGACCAAAAGATAATATCGGCAATGCAAGTTACTAAGGGAGCAAGAAAAGGGGAAGCTACTTTCTTGGCAACTTTTAAGGTTGAGGATCCGAAGGGTGAAGGGAGTGATGTCCCGACGGAAATAACCCGAGTCCTCGACGCTTTCAAGGACGTGATGCCCCCCGAGCTCCCGAAGAAGCTTCCGCCTCAAAGGGAGGTGGACCATAAAATCGAGCTCGTGCCCGACGCTCGACCACCCGCCATGGCACCCTACCGCATGGCGCCTCCCGAGTTGGAGGAATTAAGAAGACAACTCAAGGAGTTGCTCGATGCAGGGTACATCCGACCATCGAAGGCTCCGTTTGGTGCCCCGGTTCTATTTCAAAAGAAGCACGATGGATCACTCCGGATGTGCATCGACTATCGGGCATTAAACAAGCTGACGATCAAGAACAAGTACCCGATCCCTCTCATTGCCGACTTGTTTGATCAACTTGGAGGAGCACGATGGTTCACCAAGCTTGATCTTCGATCAGGATATTATCAAGTGCGGATTGCAAAAGGGGACGAGCCAAAGACCGCTTGTGTAACGCGGTATGGGTCATACGAGTTCCTCGTCATGCCATTCGGCTTGACAAATGCTCCGGCCACATTTTGCACACTCATGAACAAGGTACTCCACCCGTTCCTCGATCAATTTGTAGTGGTTTATCTTGATGATATCGTGGTGTATAGCCGGACGCTCAAGGAACACATCGAGCATCTCAAACGAGTCTTCCGAGTTCTACGGGAGAATGACTTATATGTCAAACGGGAGAAATGTGCCTTTGCACAACGAGAAGTTCCATTCCTGGGACACATCGTCGGGGGTGGACGTGTGCGGATGGACGTGGCCAAGATTAAGGCCATGGTAGAATGGGAGCCGCCGACCAAGGTGACGGATCTAAGGTCATTCCTTGGCCTTACCAACTATTATCGACGGTTCATCCGAGGATATTCGAGCATCACCGTGCCACTCACGGATATGTTGAAGAAGGAGAAACCGTGGGAGTGGACGGCCCGATGCCAAAGGGCGTTTGATCGGTTGAAGCAAACCATGACCGAGGAACCGGTGCTCGTGCTACCCGATCACGCCAAACCTTACGAGGTAGAGACCGATGCTTCCGATTTTGCTATTGGTGGTGTTCTTATGCAGGATGGACACCCGGTAGCATTCGAGTCGAGAAAGTTGAACGATACCGAACGACGATACACGGTCCAAGAGAAGGAGATGACCGCGGTGGTGCACTGCCTTCGTACATGGAGGCATTATCTCTTGGGATCCCGGTTCGTCGTAAGGACGGACAACGTGGCCACAAGCTACTTCCAAACCCAAAAGAAGTTAAGCCCGAAGCAAGCTCGTTGGCAAGATTTCCTGGCGGAGTTCGATTATGTGCTCGAGTACAAGCCTGGGAAGGCGAACTCCGTGGCCGACGCTCTTAGTCGAAAGGCGGAGTTGGTGTCGACCCTAACTCGTCCCGAGAATCCATGGAACGAGCGGATCAAGGAGGGGCTCAAACATGATCCAACCGCCAAGGCAATTCTCGACCACGCTCGGGAAGGCAAGACCCGGCAATTTTGGTGTGAAGGCGACTTGCTCTACACCAAGGGGCGACGGTTGTACGTGCCTCTCCATGGGAAGCTAAGGAAGGAAATCCTACGAGAGTGCCATGATTCCAAGTGGGCGGGTCATCCGGGGATTCACCGCACTATGGCGCTTGTGGAGGATCGATACTTTTGGCCTCACTTGCGCGACGACGTTGAGGCATATGTACGGACATGTCTTGTATGCCAACAAGACAAGCTTGAACAAAAGTCGTCGGCGGGGTTTTTGGAGCCACTTCCCATCCCGGAGCGTCCATGGGAGAGTGTCTCCATGGACTTCATTGTCAACTTGCCAAAGTCCGAAGGGTGTCGGACTCTTATGGTCGTGGTGGATCGATTTTCCAAGTACGCGACGTTCGTGCCCGCATCGAAAGATTGTCCGGCCGAGGAGGCGGCCAAGCTATTCTTGAAGCACGTCGTCAAATATTGGGGAGTGCCGCAAACGATCGTGAGCGATCGCGACCCTCGATTCACGGGTAGGTTCTGGACTGAACTCTTTAAATTATTAGGGTCGGATCTCAACTTCTCCACGAGTTTGCATCCTCAAACCGACGGACAAACGGAGCGTGTCAATGCACTCTTGGAGTTGTACCTCCGACACTATGTGAGTACGACCCAAGTGAATTGGGCAAAGTTGATCGATGTAGCCCAATTCTCCTACAATCTTCAAAAGAGCGAGTCAACGAACCAAAGTCCGTTCGAGATCGCGACGGGACAACAACCACTCACTCCGAGTACGGTTGCAACGGGCTATAAGGGGAGTAGCCCATCCGCTTTCAAGTTCGCCAAGGAGTGGCATGAGCAGGCGGACTTGGCGCGAACGTGTCTACACAAGGCCTCAAAGCGCATGAAGAAGTGGGCCGACAAGAAGCGACGGCACGTGGAATTCCAAGTCGGGGACTTGGTATTGGCCAAGCTACACCTTGTGCTCCGATACAAGGACGTGCATAAAGGGCTTATACGTCGCTACGAGGGACCATTCCGAGTGTTGCATCGAGTCGGGAAGGTCGCATACAAACTGGAACTTCCACCAAAGCTTAAGGTACATCCGGTATTCCATGTTAGTATGCTTAAACCTTTCCGTGTAGACGAAGAGGACCCGGATCGAGGGGAGTCGCAACGGGCGCCTCTTGGAGCGAAAACCTCCTATGATCGAGACGTCGATTTCATCATGGCGGATCGAGTTATACGGAAGAGATATCGTGCGCCGAAGCGTGAATACTTAATCCGATGGAAGGGTCTTCCGGAGAGTGAAGCAAGTTGGGAGCCCGAGGAAGCTCTTTGGCAATTCAAGAAACATATCGATGCTTTCCATGCCGAAGACGCGACGAGGGCGTCGCCCGAATAGGTGGGGGAGAATGTCACGGCCCGAAGAATTGGATCGTTCCTGAGGTTTTCTGGACGATGGACCGTGACCGACCCTTGGACAAGAAGGCGGGCCCCGAGTGTTCTAGTACTAGGGTTTTCTTGATGTATTCTAGAATACTCCTGGGGGCGATACGGTAATTGTACCCTCCCGTAATAAATGCGGTAGGTGGGGTAGTTGGGGGAGTACGATCTCGACCGTCGAGATCAGGGTAAGATCTACGGATACGGTCAGCCCGATACTTGTATATAATGGGGTCTCCTCCCCCTCATTTTATCATCTCTCATTCTCAAGAAGCAATAGAAAGTTCAGAGCTTCTCTCTCTAGAGTTTCTCTCTCTAAAGTTCTTGTGAGTGTGAGCGTGGGAAGGCTTACTTGGGAAGAAATTCCTAAGGCCGCACGGGTGTGGGAACGCTAGATCGATCGACCCGTGACACTAGGACCAACGATCATACTTTATTATTCGAATCATAACAAGGGTGATAATGCTGCAGCCGCTGAATCAATGTAATGTTGTTTTCGTTGTAATTTATTTTTAATCAATTAGTACACTTGCAATTTGTACATGTATATTTTTTTTTTTTGAATTCGAAGAGGTTTTTTATTTCATTCATGAAATTTGTGTGGTGTATTTTAATTAAATATTCAATATCTATTTTAAAATTAATTTTTTATTCATAAATTGTAATTTATGAGTTCAAAATTTCGTTGATTTTTTTTTTGAATTTTTTAAAGTAGAATCTTAATTTTTAAATCCAATCAAAAAAGAAAAAAACTAGCCATCGTTTGTGGGAAAATTGTCCAAAAGTTTTAAACTTATTGCACTTTTGCCGATTTAGTTCTAAACCTTTCAATTTTGCCAATAAAGTACTAAACATTTTCACTTCTTGCCAATTAAGTCTATCCGACAAATTTTGACTGTATAGTGTTGACATGGACGTCGACTGGCCTACGTGGCGCTGACGTGTCGTCTGTGGAAAAATTGTCCAAAAATTTTTAAACTTATTGCACTTTTGCCGATTTAGTCCTAAATCTTTCAATTTTGCCAATTAAGTCCTAAAAATTTTCACTTTTTGCCAATTGAATCCATCCGGCAAATTTTGACTAGATAGTGTTGACGTGAACGCCAACTAGCCTACGTGGTGCGGACGTTGATAATTTTTAATAATATTTTAATATTTTTAAAATTTTTTTTTTTTTTTTTTTTTTTTTTCTCCCTCCTCCCCCCCCTTTATATTTTTATATTTTTTAAATTTTTTTTTTTTTTTTTTTTTTTTTTTTTTCCCTTCCCGCCGCTCACCGAAGCGTCAGTAGGCGGCCGGAGGGGAAGGCCGACGAGGTCTTTTTTTTTTTCCCTCCCCTTCTTCCTCCTCTAGCCGGTCACGACATCAGCAACCGACCAAAGGGGAGGGCCAACGAGGTTGACCTCATCGGCCTTGGGTGAGCCTTGCCCTCGTCGGCCACTGGCAAGGTCGACCCTCACCGAGGCCGACCTTGCCTAACCAATCGTCACTAGGCAAGTTCAACCTCGCGAGCAACGGCGAGGCTCGACCTCACCATGGCTGGGTGAGGTCAGCCTCGCCAGTGGCCGACGAGGGCAAGGCTCACCTAAGACCGGCGAGGTCCTCTGGCCAATTCCCTACGTCAGCGATTGGCTGGAGGAGGAATAACGAGAGGAAAAAAGAAAAAGAAAATTTAAAAAATTGGAAAATATTTGAACATTATAAAAAATGTTCACGTAAGCCGGGCAGCGTCCATGTCAGCAATCTTCGATCAAAATTAGCCGGATAGACTCAATTGGTAAGAAGTGAAAATGTTTAGGATTCAATTGGCAAGAAGTGAAAAGATTTAGGACTAAATTAGCAAAATCGAAATGTTTATGACTGAATTGGCAAAAGTGCAATAAGTTTATGACTTTTTAAACAAATTTCCTCATCGTTTGTGGCCGAGGGATCGAGCAATTAGAGAAAATAAGAGTAAAGTTAAAAATAATCAAAAGAAAAAAAAAAGAAAAAGAAAGAGAAAATCATTCGCGTTTTTATATTTTATTGTCCATCATCTTATTCTGTTTTTTTTTTTGTCGAAATTTGTCATCTTATTCAGATAAAGGCTTTTGCGTGCATTCCAAATTTCCATTTTATTCATTATAATTTGGACAAGAAATTCTGTGGCTCTTCCATGGCTGTGGCTGCTCTGCCACTCAACCACCGCCTCCTCCCCTGCTTCTCCACCTCGAACCCGAGAGCTCGAACGCAGTCATGGCGCTCCCGGGGCAGAGAGGGCGTTCCCCAAACGGCGAGTCGGGCCCGTTTCTCCGTGACCAGTTGCTCTTCTTCTACTTCGCAGGCTCAGGAAGAAGAAGCTCCGGCCACGGCCGAGGCCTGCGTCAACACCGGTCTCCAACTCTTCTCTAAAGGGCGGGTATGAATTGCTCCGTTTTGTGGCTTTCGAGATGTAATTTCGCGAGGGTTCTGTGGTCTGTCAAGTTTGTGGCTTGTGCTTGTTCTTTGCTGAATATCAATGTAAAGTGCAAAGAGTTGTCGTTGGTTTGGTATTCGATAGTTTTAGATTTCAAGATTGGTCTTTGGTGATGATTATATAAGATGAGGAGGGTGTTGATGGTGATGGGATTAAAGGGTCTTGATTGTGATGCTATGAAATGAGTTCCTCAGTGGATTGCATTTGGAGTGTCGGGTCGGGACATGCTGATGTTCGCCGGGGTTTAATGCTCCGGAATTGCCCAGTATTTGTTGGATTAGGGAAGATTAGTTAAGGGAAAAAATAGAAATGGTACATTGAACAATGGTATCCATCAGTTTAATGCGAGTGTTCTGCTAACAGTAGCATGGTCGATGAGTCTTCGTTGCAGCAGGACAAAAGCGCGGTTCCTTGCTTTCCCGTGAATGAGAAGAACAATGTGCATTGGGACCGCGACTTTATGGCTTTCTTGTAATGTAGGTCTTGACTTTGTTATACTATTGACATATGTAGTTGTTCTGTGGGGAAATCTTGATTCCATGAAATGTTGATTCAATGAAGGATGAGAATAGCCTAATTAATTCCAGTTCTGATGGGCAGTCTGTGTGATTGATAGGCTTCTATAGTCTAGTCAAATTTGAAAAGCAACAATGGTCCGCTGACGTGTACTGGTTGGATGGACTCTACTCTAACTAACCTTGGTTGTGCTCGATAGAGAATAATGTCTCATTGTATGCTTTGATTACTTGGTCATATATGTTCAATTTCCTTGTGTGCGTGCTATGGAGGTGGAGAATAAGCAACATTCAAATCTATCTCATGCCAATGTCGCCATGACTTTCAGGTTAAAGAGGCACTGTCCCTGTTTGATACAGCCCTTACTTTAAATCCAAATCCTATGGAGGCCCAAGCTGCCCTCTACAACAAGGCATGCTGTCATGCCTACAGGTAGGAGGCAAGAGCTCGAGCTATGTTTTCTGCCCTAAATTGCAATTGTTTTGGCTTTCATTAAATTTTACAGCATTTATCATCTAGAAGACTAGCATAGTTTCCTTCTAAATGAATTGGTAGTCATTGTAAGAGTTGAATTCAGGAGAGATCTGTTAATACAATTTGCTGACCTTTAATTCTCCTCACTAATCTTTGATGTCAGCTAATTCAATATGTGTAAGAGCTTCCAGTAAGATGGTGGTACACTTCATAACGGCAAAAGCTTTTACATTTACACATTTCCCGATCAATTAAAAGGTCTCTTCTCTTTTCCCGATCATTCTGGATGGGTTTCTGAAATCTAAAAAATCTCCAAAACGTTTTACTCTCACTTCTCCAGTCTTTTGCAGCAGCTCTCTCTTAGCTGTAATGTAATTTTATTGGCTGAGACAGGATGCCCAAACGACTGATGAACGTTGGGATCGGATAATTAAGAGGCTGTTGCTTTTTAACTTTAACTCCATTTGTTTGATGATTGATCCACCTCTGCTAGGTCTTTAAGTCATTTAGAATGGCAGATCATTGAGCATAGCCATAATTAGGATGCTTGTCTATTGAATGATCTCTGTCCTTGACTTGACCCATTGAAAAGATACATTCACAAATTCTCCGATTTTCTTGTCTGGCTTTGTATTGGCTTATGTGATCAACCATTGCTAAGTTTTTATCTTCACATATTTTGTTTGTGAAAGAGGGGAGGGAAAGAAAGCTGCTGATTGCTTACGTACAGCTTTGAAGGAATATAACCTCAAATTTGGTACGATTTTGAATGATCCTGACTTGGCATCATTCAGAGCCTTGCCTGAATTCAAGGAACTGCAGGAAGAGGTCTCTTGCTAATTTGAATCTAACATTCATTCTCAGAAGGTTGAAATTTGTGATCACTATGCTCAACTCTCTTCGTTAGATTTACAGGCTAGACTGGGTGGAGAAGATATAGGCTACGGTTTCCGCCGAGATCTGAAACTTATTAGTGAAGTTCAAGCACCTTTTCGTGGGGTTAGAAGATTCTTTTACGTGGCTTTCTCAGCGGCTGCTGGTATTTCCTTTTTCTTTACCATACCCAGGCTCATTCGTGCAATCAAAGGTGGAGATGGTGCTCCTGATCTCTGGGACACTGCGGGAAATGCTGCAATTAATATTGGAGGTAACCATCTGGCCTTCCCTAATTATGCAGCATTCTGCTGAAGACTACAAGCCTTTTAAGTATTAGTATGGTGTTCGTGCCTTACTATGAATACTTTGGAATGCTAGATTGAGATGGAAATTGCTTTAAGTGACTAAATTTTTTAACCAGCAATCTGCAGGCATCGTTGTTCTTGTGGCGTTGTTTTTCTGGGACAATAAAAAGGAGGAAGAGCAGCTTGAACAAATATCCCGAAACGAGACCTTATCAAGGTTGCCACTGCGCTTATCCACTAATCGAGTGGTTGAACTCGTACAGCTTCGGGATACAGTTAGGCCTGTCAGTATCACAGTTCCCTCTTCTTTTAAATTTTCCATCTGTCTCTGTTTATTTTCCCCTGGAGTCAACTTTGGTTTCACATTGTAAATGTTTTCTAAATTGAGAGTTCTTTCAACAGTTCTTAAGGAAAGATTACATGCATTTAGAGTGGACATATCTTTTTGACTTTCTTCCATGGGCGAGATCACAGCATCTTTCTCCTCAAGAATATTTGTTCATCTCATGGTTTGTTGACACAACTTGCGCTGCTCATGAAACTTTCTGGAGCTAATGGAGAAGGAAACTTTCATCCCTTTTTACTTTCTTTAGGAACTTTTGTCAATTATCATCAGCATCGACAATAAAAGATTGAAAGGTCTCTAAAAGGGTACTGCAGAATTTGAATATAACAAAAGTCTTAAGAATAGATATCTATGGAATCTTCTTCTTTTGTAGATCTTTGCAATATAGGATCCGAGTATAACAGAAGGTTATGTGCGTCTTCACTTTTTTCCTTGCATGTGTACGAGATGCAAATCATAAATTTTGAAGTCAAGATCCAGATTCCAGAGTCCAATGAAGAAATGTTTAATCATCTGAGCTGCTTATTGGCTGGTTTCTTTGGTTTTTAGTTTCATAAGACATGTTCTTGTAGGTTATTTTGGCTGGGAAGAAGGAGACCATTGCGCTAGCCATGCAGAAAGCAGAGAGATTTCGTACTGAGCTCCTTAGAAGAGGTGTTCTTTTAGTTCCTGTAATCTGGGGTGAAGGTAAGGCTGCACCATTGGAGAAAAAAGGGTTTGGTGCTTCTCCCAAAGCAGCGGCTGCTCTTCCATCTATTGGGGTAAGTTGGTGTGACCAAAGGCACATACTAGTTGAGTCATTTCATCTTTTTAGGCGATGATTCACTAAACGTGTCGCACCATTCTAAGAATATTCACGATGATGATTGGTCGAGTTGAAGTGAGCTGTGTATTTCTTATGATCTTGGATAAGTGCTTTTCCTCCCAAGTTGCACTGCCATTTATTGATTCACATTTGTGACTGATAGCATGGAAAATTTATCACATTTTCGTTTAGGAAAATGAAGTGTCAGAGTTTCCATATGCTTCTCTTTTCACTTTGATGATGCACATGGTGAAAACAATGGCAGGAAGATTTCGAGAAGCGGGCTCAATCTGTAATTGCACAATCGAAATTAAAAGCAGAAATCCGTTTCAAGGCGGAGGTCGTATCACCTGCCGAATGGGAAAGGTGTGTTCATGTTTTTGCTTCCTTTTTTTAAATGTATTTGAAGGGGTGCAACAAATCAATAAAAAAGACTCTTGTTCAAAGTTTTTGATGGCAATATCTCTGTCCTTACCAGAAATCGGTACTTTAAGTCTAATGAGCTCGTGCTGGCCCCCACCACCCTCAGGGTGTGGGTTTAGCCCTACATCGGAGTTGCGTGTGTGCTAGTATTCATTAAACGATGTTTGAGGTTCGAGTAGCACGGTGCTTTTACTCATTCTCTGTCCTCCTTTTGTCCAATATAAAAGGCTAATGAGCTTTTTGCCTGGACATTATTAGGTGGATTAAAGATCAGCAGAAATCTGAAGGAGTTACTCCTGGTGAGGATGTGTACATAATATTACGACTTGATGGTCGTGTACGGAGATCGGGCAAGGTAATTATGACTCATCCATCCTGTTTAAGTATTTATGTGACAGATAGGTCTAGTTCTTTGGTATGCTTCCCGATCAATCTTTACAACGACATTTTGGCGGCTTTTTTTTAACCAAATAATGATATATCTCTTATAGATGTTTAGGACTTCGAAGAGAACCTAGATTTGGCATTTGGAAACTACCGTTAGATTTACTTCAAAAGTAGATGGATATGCGAAATCTCTATAAATTCCCCTTTTGTTGTCCCTGAGAGTCTCGCATGTTTTCGCAGGGTATGCCAGACTGGCAGCAAATTGTGAAGGAGCTGCCACCGATGGACGCATTGCTGAGCAAGCTAGAGAGGTAGATGCAGTTGCTTCTGTTAAATGTTAATTCATGGTGGAGATAATTTAAGATGGGCTATCGCCATGTGTGCTTGCTTTCTTAATGTGAGCTTCATAGCTTCATATTTCCCAAATCCGGTGCCAAGCACAGAATCAATGGGATACTAATTCAAGAAAGTCGATGTCCGACACCGTACGAGCCCACTTACACTTCCTGAAACAGTCTCTAACGCGACTTATGTGATTTAGTTTGTTGAAATTTTCCAAGGAAATGAAATGAAAAGTATTTGATCTGTTCTGCCTGAGCCTAGTCTTCCTAGCGGTGCGTCTGGGCCTTGAGGTTAGGGGTGAGCAAGATGGACCGCCCAAACCGGGACCGGACCGGACCGAACCGACCGGTTGGTCCAGTTCTTGGGAATATCGGTCCGGTTCCCGGTTCCTAAAAGTGGAACCAGTTTCCAGGCTGTCCAGTTCCCGGTTCTAGGGTGGGAACCAAACCGGACCAGACCAATAAATATATATATTTTTCTAATTTTTTCATTTATATATTTATTTACTTTTTAAAATTTTTGAAAAAAAATAGAAAGCCTAATCTAATTTCCCCAATTCTCTCTTGCCTTTACCAATAAGTGATTGGTCCCATTGGAACCGGTCTGGTGATCCGGTCCGATCCACGGTCCCAAGACTAGCCGGTCCGGTCCCCGGTCCTAGAAACGGGGAACCGGTCCTCCCGGTCCAATTCCTGGTTCTTGGGTTGGACCAGACTGGATCGAGAACCGCTCACCCCTACTTGAGGTGTTGATGTTGGTTTCGACATTGTCTCTGCTCTTTCTTTACATGGTTGTATGATTCTTTGGTTCATCTTCTTACCATCCTAAGCTGCAATTCCTGCCCCTTTCACATGACTTCTTCAGGAAACTGACATTGTGCTTTAGGTAAACTTAGCAGTGCATTAATCTAAACCTTTGACAAATTTATCCCTCTCGCTTATAAGGCGGACCTCATCAACGAGAGACCTAGAATCCCATGGAAGGAGTGAGTGTATTTCAGGAATGCACAGTTTATTTCTTCATTTATATCGGCCCCGACTTGCAGATTCAGATTATCGTACTTTTAACCTCGATTCGAATACATTCGGAATGGCGGGTAAAGTTAGATTGCAACGAGAGACCGAGAAAAACCATTACATTGTCCATGGCCAAATCCTCATCACACATCTTGTGATGATGCTCGTCGTCTTGAGCAGCCACCGAAGCAGACGGCCACCGCGACCCGGGTACCTACTTCGAAAGCCCAATGCTAGGGATCTCTTGCAAAGTGCACGCCAGAAAGCGAGAAGGAGATGGATTCCGAGATCAATAGGCGCATTTTATCAAGCACCAACTACATTAGCTACGATGTGCTGAAACCTAATAAGACGGCGTGCACAATAAGGGGTGCGCCTCTACTCCGACCGCCACGCCGCTGCAAATCCTTACAGCCTCGGCTGCGCTACTTATGCTCGATGCCGTTGCCGAGATTTACGTTATGCCTCGGATTCTGCTTTTGTGTTTCTTCTTCTTATGGGGTAAGGATCCATACTATTGTTAACCGAGGGTTTGGACCCGACTTCTCGCCACTTAAAAAGGAAAATCGATCGCGGGGGTGGATCAATTTTACAAGCTTAGAGTATCACACGGCGGTACTCGATGAAAATCGTCGCGCATTCCGCTATTCTTTCGCCTCTCGTCCGGGACTTACAAGGAAAATGTCCAATTTTGTTGACAAAATAGGACTTAAATTCAAAAATCATAGTCATCGTGCAATTTTCATAAGCAAGGGCCTTCCCAAATCTTGAGCTACAACTCACGATTTCTTTCCCTTCTCCAGCTTAGTGTCTCGTTTCGCGGCCATCTACAATGTCTTTATGGTCCCATGACAGCCTGCATTCCAGTGCTTGTACATGCTCCGTCTATTTTGTGAAAAATAAATAATTTTAAAAATATTTTTTTAAATCTAATTGCTTGTGGCGCTTAAAATAATTAATCAATAAAAAAATATTATCATTGTTCACGATAATTTATGTCTAAACATTTTCGCAAACGACGAAACTATTTTTGATTCATTCATTTTCACGGGTGATATAAGCGATTTTCTATAATAAAAACAAATTGATTTTAGAATCATTTATTTTTTACAAAACAAAAGAACTAAATCACCGAAAGTCACGAATTTAATCAAGGGTTAATACTACGAAAAATCCAAAATTGGTGCACATGTGACAAATTTACCCTTCGTTTATTTCCATTAAATTTTACCGATAAATATATGAGTTTGATAACACGTGGCAGTTGACGGGTATACCAGTTTGAGGTTCTATCATCTGTTTATCACTAGTGTACCGATTTATAATTTTTCGTGGTGTTAATCCAATTTGACAGAGAGTAAATTTATCACAAATGTACTAATTTGGGGCTTTTAGTGATCAAAAAATTAATTTAGAATAAATTTATCATAAGTATATCAATTTAGGATTTTTCGTACTATTAATCCTTTAATTAACTCAATTTGGATCCTCTCATTTTCACGGGACCCACGATCAAACTCAAGAGGCCCAGATAATGACACGTGGATGGTGACGTGGATTAATTTGGGAGGGGCAATCTATGACGATCCAACGGGTGCTGTCACGATGGAATCAAAGTCCAATTGGTGTCGAACCAATTGACTCGAATTAAGTAATGGGGATTAGGACCCAAGAGCTCGCGATCTTCACCCGAGCGACTCCCCTGAGAGCCTCGGAACAATACTAAGCACCAGAACCGCCCGTTCGCTCCGGCTCTGGTGCTTGCTCCATATAATCGAGTGCTCCGCAAGTCTCTGAGGCTCCTTTGCCCTTGCCTTTGGCGATCGGCTTATCTGAAAGTGATTTTATGATCAACCGGTATCTCTATTGTAGGTCTTTTCTCCCTATCTAAAGCTAGATCTAGATTTGGGTGTTCTTCTATTATGATCTAATTATAGATCTAGAATTTATAATGCGTTTTCTGTGCTTTTTCAACCGTTGATATTGTTGTTGTCGCTTTACAGTGATGGTGCTCTGGACGCCAAACCTAGGTGATAGTAGCGACTTTTGGAAAGCCATAGCTACTAGAGAGAGAAATCTCGGCATGTGCTCATCACTGATGATAATGAGAAATTCGGTGATCAACGGTTGGTTATGCTTTGATGCTATGACGGACCCGTCTTTGTAAAATGAACGAGTCTTTGCAAGCTATACTAAGTTAATTCATCTTTCAGGTTTACTTGCTTTGTTGGATTTGCATGTTTATTTTGAAGTTACGTACCTCTCTTTAATGTGAAATGAAAATCTTCCTTCCGACCAAAAAAATAAAAAGTAATGGGTGGACAGTGATACTCTCGTAAAGGCTTTAGTTAAAGAGAGCAAGGCTCGGCTGCTTCGACGACCCCATCACCAAATTACATTTCAACAAGTGTGATCATTATATTCGGGAAAATTGTCGAATCAATCCTAAACCTATTCGTGCGAATGCTAATTCGGATCTAATCATTTTTTTGATTTTTATCAATTTAGTATTAAACATTTGCCCGAAATCCCAACATAGTCTTTCCCATGGAGTTTTTTGCCAAAGATCGCTGACGTGGCGGTATGCCACCTAGGATAGCTGAGGCCGATTGGACAATTTTCCCCAAAACAAACAAAGCCAGGACCAACCAGGTAATTTTCCCGAAAACGAACAAAGACATGGAGTCCCGAAATAATAAGCAATTATCGTCACATAAATACTCAATTTCATAGAGCCTGCATGCTAGGGAAACATGTAGCTTCGAGATAGGGGTAAATTGTCCAAAAAGTCATAAACCTATTGCACTTTTACCAATTGAGTCTTAAACCTTTCAAGTTTACCAATTGAGTCCTAAACTTTTACACTTCTTGCCAATTGAGTCCATCCGGCCAATTTTGACCAAAATCGCTGACGTGGACATTTTTTAATAATTTTTTTTGGTTTTTTTTTTCTTTTCTTTGTTTTTTTTTTTTTTTAGGTTTTAGAGTTGGCCAGCGAGGGTGACCGGCCAACCCTCACCAGCTCTAGCGCGGCCCTCGCTGGCCAAAGCGAGGGTGCGTGAGCCCTCGCCCAGATCCGGCGAGGTAAGCGATGCCCTCTCCTGGGGCCGGTGAGGGCCGCCAACCCTCACCTAGCCAAATCCAGCAAGGGCTCACGCGCCCTCGCTTTGGCCGGCTAGGGTGTCGTGGCCCTCGCCCAGAGCCGGCAAGGTTCGGCCGGCCACCCTCGCTGGCCAACTCCAAAACCCAAAAAAAAAAAAAACAGAGAAAAGGAAAAAAACCATAAAAAAATTCAGAAAATTATTAAAATATTATTTAAAAATATCCACCCGGTCGGCGTCCACATCAGCAATTTCCGGCCGAAATTGATCAGATGGACTCAATTGGCAAGAAGTGTAAAGATTTAGGACTCAATTGGCAAGCTTAAAAGGTTTAGGATTGAATTAGCAAAAGTGCAATAGGTTCATGACTTTTTGGACAATTTTCCCTTCGAGATAGTCATGTAAACAATCAAAATCAATCCTTTTCATTTTCGATTTTTCCTTTGTTTTATTTTGTTTATCATATTTTGGGTAGGTGACGAAGAATTAGCATGTTGATCGTGGAGTTAAAACTTTCTTTACCGCAATCTACAGCCTTTGAATATTGTAATAAAAGGTTATGAAATTGGGTGAAGGTCCATTGAATGAAGCAACTACTATACCAATGAAAATAATTCAAAAATATATATTTCTTCCTTTTGGCCACGTAAGACATTGCTTTTCTAACATCTAATATTAGTCCAAAGGAAATCGGCCGTATGGACTGAGGCTCTGTTTGTTTTGCAGAATCAGGAAGTCATTTTCTAGGAAAATGATAATATTTTTCGATATTCGGCTAAAACTAGAAAATGAATTAGAAAATATATTTCCACTATTTAGTATGGAAAATATGATTTGATTTTCATGAGGAAAATTATCAAAAAATTTCGATTTTTTTATTTCTTTTATTTTATTTTTTTTCATTTTCCTTTTCCTTCTTCTCCGGTCTATCGCCAACCACAGCGATGGCCGGTGACTGGCCATAGGTGAGGGACGAGGTCGCTAGAGCCTCGCTGACCTCTGGCCACCTCAAGTGAGGCTCGAGCCTCACCCAGCTCATCGAATCTAGCAAGGCTCGAACTCGCCGGCCTGGGCGAGCTCGTCTCCTGCCTGTGGCCGACGACCGGCCGAGGAAGAAGCAAAAAGAAAAAGAAAGAAAGAAAAAATAAAAATAATTAAAATTGCGATTTTTTTAAAATATATTTATTAGAACTAACATTTCGTTAACTAAGGAACTGAGTACGGTCTTCGTGGACCCGAGCCTGAGTGCCGGGGATCAAAGCTCAAGCATCGAGGATCCGAGCACGGCCTTTGTGCACCCAAGCTCAAATGCTGAGGCATCAGGCACGGACATCAAGGCTTCGGACCCGGCCTCGATGGACCCGAGTGTGGACACAAGGGGCCCGGGCTCAAGTGCTAGAGACCTGGTCTTGAATGCCGGGAACCAATGTTGGGGTTTTCGTGCCCAAGCGTAAAGTTTCAGGTCCGAGCGCCGATACCTAATCATATTTTGAAAAATATTTTCCGATTTTCAAAGAGGAAGTCATTTTTCTAAATTTAAGCATAGGTTTTCCGTTGACTCGAAAAGCATTTTCCGTTAACTTATTTTTCTAAGCGAATCAGATGCCGAAAAATGAGGAAAATATTTTTCTGAAAAATATTTTCAGCGAAACAAACATAGCCTAAGTTTATGTCAAAATGTATAGTACAGCTTGTCCATTGACGTTTTCCGCCACCCCTCGTCCAGTGCCAATTGGAGCTGCCACCCTCTATTGATGTGAAAACCTTTCTAAAGTACAACCTATATACCGGCATAATATCACGAAATCAGAACGCATGGCCCAAATACGAAAACAATGTCGGTAATCAAGCCATTTTGTCATGAGTAGTCAGAACAAGTGGCCCGACTCGATCCGTCGTGTTCCCTTCCGCTGTAATTATTTTTTCGTAAAGTATTATGAGAAAGAAAATACCTTATAAGACGCGTGATACCATGTCGACGTGTCATATTAATATATTTTACTTAGAAGAAGAAGTCAAAGCAATGCCTGGCCGGTCTGCTCGAGAGATCCCTCAAATGTTAGTCTTCCAAATGGCCTTTTTTCTTTTCCTGCAAATGGCATTAGATTTGTACTCTAGGTCGTTGGCTATCTCCAGGCAGTTTCTGAACGTTTTGGGATAGATCCAAAGCATAATTAGCAATCGCGTCGGTCCAAATTACGGCAACTTTCCACTAGAAACTCGAACGAATAGTTTTCTAGGGTCATCATCCGAAATTATTCCGTTTTACAATGATGGTAGATCGAAAGAAACCAAGCAATCAAAGAGATGTGCGCCATTCCTAAGACCATCATTCATTCGGAAATGGGCTTCTATCTCCTTCCCTATTTCACACCTCGTCGAGTGTGTCGGTCGCCCCGTCTCGTGCACACTCTGCGATCCTCGACGACGCGCGCGCGAGGGTGGCCCCAAAAGGAAAGCGCAGATAATGACAGTTCGAGCCGAGGCCTCGAGCGAAGAGGACGGACGCGCTTACCTACCCCCTGTTAGGTCAATGGACTTTGTATCTTCTTGATCAGTCATAGGACTGAAATCTTTTTATTAGATGAAGTGTCCATTCCTTGAAACTATGACGCAGCCGATCAACAACAGTCTTCTGGGTAATCTTCTGTCATCATTCACTGCCTAGACATTCCTCTCCAAGAGGGGGGTGCCGCCGTCCACGTCGTTTTCGCGAGAAGACGGCCATTGAAGAGCCTTTTGAACATTGGGAGCACATTCAAACAAATGCCAAATTTCTTGAGGAGCTTTTAATTCAATCGCGTACAAACAATTATCTTTGAACATATAGTAAACTCAAGATGGCAATTTTTTTGCTCGAAAACATTCGTATGTAAACGAGGTGCTCGGGGCTCTTTGAACACGCGAGAATCTCCGCTGTCTGATAATCCTCTCCCTGCACAAGTCTAGTAATTATCGGGCACACAAGGGTCCATGCTCATAGGAGTGATGTAATTCGATTCTAGGTCTTAATTCAGGAGCAGAGCATGCTTACCTGAGAAATCCATCTGGTTTATTTGAATAGTTAATAGAATTAATTCCGTTTAAATCTGCTTTTTTTTTAAAATTTTACTTAGTAATAACTAATGACTTTCAAATGAATTTGATAGGTAGTCTTTTAAAATAATCTAGGGTTACTATCGCAATTAGCCAACTACCTGGAGGGGAATGAGCACAGCAACCCATTGCCATGATCCTCACAAAAATCTGAATTCTCCAGGCAAAATCAAACTCATAGCCATCGGTTCCTGAGCCGAAAGTATGAAAACGACCTTGGTATTAGATTAATCCTAAGGTGGGTAATAATTTTTTTATTGCTTTTGTAACAATTTAATATTTTTTGTTGTCATTGTGCTGACTTTTGCTAAATTCCATATAGATCTTCCAAATTGTTTTACTAGCACTCACTATTTGACCAAAAAAAAAAAACTAGCACTCACTATATTTATGGAAAAAGCCCTTCAAACCAAACGTTCATCTCGCTTCGTTTGCACCTTCACTCTTCTTATAAAGAAACGCAATGCCATGTACGTCAACAACGGCAGAAGGCTCTAAAACATCAGTACCTGAGAAATGGCCGATGCCTCCACTTCAATCCTCTTTTTCTACCTATCGATCGCAATCCTCCTCATCTCCTCGATCGCGGCCGATGTGGGCAGGGACCACGAGCTGAGCTGGATGCTGCCGGCCCCGACAAGGGCCCCGGGGTGCCGGGGCCCGATCGCCGAGTGCCTGGCTGAGGACGAGTTCGAGATGGATTCCGAGATCAACAGGCGGATCCTGGCGACCGCGAAGACGCACATCAGCTACGGGGCGCTGCAGCCGGGCACCGTGCCGTGCTCCCTGAGGGGAGCATCTTACTACAACTGCAGGCCCGGCGCCGAGGCGAATCCATACAACCGTCCCTGCAGCGTTATTACTCAGTGTCGTAGCTGAGAAAAGTGAAGTGACTGTATATGTAATCCTATGTGCTTCTTGCCGTTCCCTTGTGCTTGTGGTATGGACATGTTCATGACTAAGATGACATGGTACAATCATGTAAAGAAGCTGAAACTTTGATTTGTTCCTCCTCCTCCTCCTCCATCTTCTTGTCTCTGCTTTCTGCCTCCTGCATATGAACTCTTTCTAGTTATGTTCCATCGAGTTTATCCTGGTAAAGGGAAGCTAAAGTATCTCAAAATCATTAGAAACGGCAATCTTGAGCTACTAAAGTATCTCTGACGACATGCATTTGGTTGGAAGTTCCAGGTGACAGTTTATAATTGCATCCAACAGGTGAAAAGAATCATCTACATATTCATATTCTCGTCTTTTGCCATACAAAACTGCGTTTGGAGTTCGTCAAGTGTCATAACTTTTTACTAGCCCTAAGGGCTAAGGCCTCTAACCACGACGATATACCGAAACACAATGAAGCTTTTCCAGGATGATAAGCTTGAATATAGAGCTAATACTATGACGATTTTTCCGCAAATCAAAGGACGCAGGAACTTTTTTCTTTCTCCTGATCCACTTCGAACAAGGCCAGGTTGAATAATTCCGAGATAAGCATCATTTTCGAGCTTATGGTTCACCCTACCAAAAAGATCAAAGCTGGAAGCTTCTGCTCTTGTTAACAACTGAACATCCAAATATGAGAAATCCGGTAGGTTTGCCTATTTGGTTAAGACACTGAACTGCGACTTTGGAAAAAGCAAAAGAAACAAAAAGCGCCGTAATGCGCGCAATATAAGGGCAAGGATCGGAAGCGCACCTATGGCAAATCCCTCAAGGCAGCCTTAGTGACCTCTCTTTGGACAATTACCAGGTGGCAAAATGTCCCAATGGGTTTCCCTGGTTGCTTCAAGAGATCTAAACACCAATGTCAACTGAAAAAATCAACAAGAGAAACTACAGGATTGATAGCTCGCAGTGTTGCTTAGAGTAACATAGCATGTAATGAGGCTGCTAATCCCAACAAGCAGGATGAGGCATCAAGTGATTTCTGAATAAGGGTTCCCTGTGTTAAATCGCCTATCTTTCAAGTCTTAATGACAGTAATGCAACGTACACACGTTCAAAGGAAAATCTGCAAGATAATGTCAAAACTGTTGTTGTTACTCGTGTTTCCTATTCATGCTGTTCGTACAGATGAATGTCAACAAAAGAAGCTTGAAGCTGTAACGATCGAGAGGATCAGCGAAACGGGCATCGGAGTTTTTCATTCTTCTTTCTTTCCACTTGATGATTCGGCCTTAACATAAGGATATTCCGGTGGAGCACACCAAAGGCCCCACAATATAATTAAGTGGAGACAGAGAAGCAGCACAGATGAAATGATGTTTGATGGATACATGTTCCAGCATACCTCCACTCCTACAAACAATATTATCCTGCAACAGAAACTCGTTTGTTCTTCAAAACAGTTGTATGTATAGAAGTTACTGACTTAAACATTAAAACACTAAGTTACCGTAAAAGGGTTGGAAAAGGAGTTCTCCAAAGTAGATAAGGTAAGCTGTAAAAGTACCTGCACCGAGAGATACAGATTAGAAACTAATGCAACAGCCATAGACATTCAACCAAAAAGATCATCTACAAATGGAACAGAAGACGTGCGTGGAGTATTCTCCAGATCGTCAATTATTCAACACAAAACAGCAGATCAATTACTTTAACACAAAACAAGTGGAGTGTACTAACTCCAGCAATGGCAATAGGAGCAACAGTAATAATGGCGATGGTAAGACAGACAATGAAAGAATTCAAAGAACATGATGCGAATGCATTAGGAGCAAAGAAAAGGCAGAACAAGATGTGACATTCTATCCATGAGTGCCTGCTTGTATGGGTTTGCATGCTCGATTGGGTGTTCATGTCTCTTGTGTTTGTGATATAAAGAAGCGCTTAAGCACGAAAGAAATGCGTAATATCACTCATAAACACAGTATCAATTGATGTCTCCTGTAGATACACATAAACCAACTAACAGTTGAGCATCTATCTGGCAGCTGGCCCTTACCAAAAGAAGAAAAGAAGATGAAAAGATCACATTGATTAAGAAGCCATGGTCTAATACATTCCCTTTATTATTTAACATAACACCAATTTAACAAACAAGTACGTACCATTAGGGCTGAGCAAAATAACCCAGTGGCCTAAAAACCCGGGCCGGGCCACAGGGCCGAAATTTTTTTTATTTCGAACTGTTCTTTCGGGCTTTAGGTACTTATGGCCCGGACCAGCCTGAGGTATATTTAATACATAAAAAAACATATATTTCAAAACCCTAATGCACGAAACGCTCTCTCTCCTTCCCCAGGTTCTCCACCGTCGAGCCACCACTGCACGCACAGCGAGTCCAGCAGCCCTACACAACTCAACTCGCTGTACTTCTCCCCCCGCGCCCCCCCCCCCCCCCCCTCTCTCTCTCTCTCTCTCTCGTCACATTGTCCTTTCTCTTGTTCACGCCACTACGAGCTGAGGCAGTAGGATTCGGGATGGCCACCACACTTCATTCATGGCTTCACTCTCACATCACAGGTTGCTGTGACTTCTTTTAGAACTTTTTCCGCCACTTTTTTTTTTTCAAAATCTTGTGAATATATTTTCTGCCTCCTCTGCCTAGAGGCTCATGCTCAAGCGAGCTACTTCATGAATCTCACAGTCTTGTTTTATTTGATGACTTGTGTACTGCAAGTGCTTGTCTTTTCAAGTTCTTTATTTTCCCAGTTGAAGATGTATTGTTAACAACTATTCACATGAAAAAGAAAAATCAACATTCGCAATCTGGGCTTTGGCCTGGACCTGCCCAAAATGATCCAATCCTATTCTGTCCAGGCCAAATCACATAGCTTCAGTTCGGGCCAGGCCCTTGGACCAAAAGTATAAGGCCTGAGATGTTCGGGCTTGGTCAATTTTTGGGTAAAAGCCCGCTTGACTCGGCTCGTTCTCAGCCCTACGTACCATGCAAAATATACATGGCATACCAGACCCGATTGCAACTCACAAGCAACAGTTGTAAAAGTATGTCAGATAGACAGTATTTGGAGATACAAGTTGAGTAGCTATCAAGCATCCACAAACAGACTTACCATGAGTAGAACTGATAATGCAATGAACGTGCACATACAATGCCAATGAAATTCCCAGCAAACATAGTCGTCACAATATCTGAATCATGCAATTGAGAAATATTAGTAGTATTCAACAATAAAAGATGCTAATTGAGGGGGAAAAGTCACATTTGGCTTACGCTCTTGGCTGATAACTTTGGACGATGAGCCGATACTTTGAGAATTTTGTCGTGAGAAGGAACTTAAGAGAGAGAACTTCAGCTTCAAGAAGAGAAACTTTGAATGCAAGAAGTTAAGAAGCCCTCCTTCATGCCTGTAGATTAAACACAATTTCGTAAAAGCCGTGTCAATCAGCAGAAAAGAAAGAAAGCATAAATCATGCAGACAAGATAAGCAAGAAACAACATAAGTCAACCAACCTACTATCAATTAAAGACATTATCTCCATTAGATGCCAGATGTAAAATGAGAATGCAACAAGTACTGCTCCAATAAGTAGTGCACGAAAAGTAACTTGTGCACATATGCAAACAGAAATTGCATGAAGAGACTGAAATGATCAAGACTTGGAAAGCTATCTTTAGCAAACCAACAACATTTGCACTCAAATTCATAGCCTACAATAGCAACTTGAGTGATATTAACACTTACTTGCACCATCTATAATGCGCAAATGAGAACAGCAACGCCAGGTGAACAACCAGCAAGGAGACTGCAAATCCTTTCGATACAAAAACTGGCTCAGGAACAAACTTGAAGTTAACAGACCTGAAGGTAAATAAAGTCAATCTTCAACTTGTATTCAGCAATCATTCTTATATGAGTTAAATCCAAGCGACTTATAAAAAAGGATGGTGCCACAATTGCTTTGCTTGTATTAATGTAGCGCTATCTCAATGTCTTCTGCATTTCAAACGTGCATTGAAAATTAGGTTTCAAAAGATTCTTTCATCCTAGCTTTTGCCAAGTTGAGTTACAATGTGCAACATATCTCAAGATGATTATTATGTCCAAGATGCATTAAGCAGAATAAAGTAAACTTGCCATAGCATAAGAAGTCCCGAAAATGTCTACCAAATTCAGCATAAAATGTCTTTGATAGGTGCCATATATTTCATAGTAAAAAAGATTGTATCCTACAAACAACAGTAAACTACTTTTTTGTAGCTTAATGGAAGGCTGCATGCACTATTATACCAGATGTTTTCACTTGCAACGTGATCTGTTCATTAAACTCCTATGCATGAACCTGAAAATACAACTTATGAGAGAAAAATGAACAAGCTTTTCCACCCAGTGACCATAGTAATATCTACTTTGACATTTAAAGATCGCAGAGAAGTATACCAAAAGTGGATGAATATGCGACCAAGATTGAAGGCCCCAGATATATATGCAACCGGATAGGATAAGAGAAATGGAAGCCCCAACAATATCTGGAGAATTGTGCATTAGTGAACCAGTAAGCATAATGATCATATCGGACGCCCAGCAACATTAGTCACAGATGGAGCTCCACTCACCTATGCACGCCAAAAATCAAATGATTGATACATCACATTCCCAAGAAAAAGGCCCTTTTGTGCCATGTGGACTCAATTTTCATTCGAACGAATCTAAAGAAGGATATCTAAATGGATATAGAGAAGAAGGAACATCAAGGGCCATAAGGTCAACTACCTGCACAAGCGCTGCACAGGCTAAAGCTGACACAACCCCAAAAATATCCATGGCCTGCAGAAGATGCATGTCAGGGATTATAAACCATGCTCAAATTTGCAATAAGTACATTAGGCACAAATTCAAGACTTGCAAGGAATAAAAACCATGTACCTTCAGCATTAGAAGAAGCAATGGCGGAGCATAAAGGAGGATATTCATTTTTATAGAAACGGCAGTACTGCAGAGATCAAAGGAGTAACAATTATTTGAAGAAAAACACTAATAATAGGAAGCACAAGGAAAAGGAGTTTTAAGTGAAAACACTACCTGAAGATAATCAACCCAACATGCCACTTTTGGCTAAGTAGGGCAACCATAGAAGTATGGAGAAGCATTGTAGCAAAACAGTCATTAAAGAGACGGAGAACAAAGATGGAGTGCACCCTCTTTGACAGACAAAGCAAGCTCAGAGCCCACCATGGGAGCTGCTATAGTTTTTAAACAGTGGAGATCAATGACATTGCTGAAACTTAATCGGAAGGGAGGGAAAGGAATGGTAAAAAAGCTTATTGCGTTGTGAGCAGATTCAATCAAATAAGCATCTGTCTTTTGAAATTCAAAAAGAAAGGATCCAATAAAAAGTCTCTACATTTATCGCCACAGTATCTGAACAGTATAAGTACTATACATATCAGATTGAACAAGGTAATGAAGTGCATCGAATAGAGTAAGCAGGGAGAAAGATACTCTCTTTACTATACATGAGGAAAATACAACTAGAATATGATTGTACAAAGTTGTTAGTTATCAAGTAATATGGTACAGAGCAACCTAATGATGCACCATGCAAAGTGCCAGCACCATAATTGGCATCTCAAACAAGGATGAGCAGTGAAGGAGATATCGGAACAAAGCCAGGTCACATTGACAAACACGCACATAATGAAATAAGCACCCTTTTTACGTGCAAAAATTAAACCACTTACCACATCTGTCTTCACATATATGAAGAACACGATCCCCAGATTAATGATGTACAAAATGCCAAACAAAATCTGCGGCAGTCGAAGAATCAAGAACACCATCAATAATGTAGAAAGCGAAAAGACTCCCACAAAACACAAAAACAAAGCAGCAATTACAGCAAAACGCCAATATGCACGCCACTGCTCATAATCGTCCCGGATCATGCTCGCGTCCAAACCCAACTTCGAATGCGCAAAACATACCTGAGCTGGATAGACCTCGCCGCCGGTGAGAAACTGAATAGCAGAGTAGACATAGAGGAACCCGGCTGGATAGACCAGGGGACCCGTGTCACCTTTCAAGTTACCGTAATCCCTTTCTCCCCCAAGAAACCCACTCACCTGCAACACGCGAAATCAACCGGAACTGCGAAATCAAAAGCAACGGCGGCGCAAAAGCACGAACCTTTTCAAGAAAAAACAACGACCCAGGAGCTTGATTCGGACAAAAAGGGACACCTTGACGGCATCGAACTCGGGAACGAGCAACGCACCTGAGACATGTAAGCGTCCCAATCGATCTTGGTGTCTGAAAGCAAAGCCGAACAGCGACGACAGTCAGGAACAGGACCAATTAGAGAGAGACAGAGAGACAGAGGGGGTATTACAGGGGACATAGGCGATGACGAGAGAAACCAGGACAGCGTCTGCGAGGAGCAACGCCGAGGCGAAGGCGGCTTTGCGATTCCTGAGGAGCTTCATGGGAGAAGAGGAATCATGCTCGGATTGGCGCGATTCGAGCTCGGTCGTCGCGGAAGGAGCAGCCATGGCTTCCCTAGCTGCTCGTCGAATTCTCTCTCTCTCTCTCTCTCCCTCTGTCTCAGTTTCTTCGTTCGCTGCTGTTCTTGCTGACCGATCATCAGCGATGGCTGAAGCGGGAGCACGGGAAGAACCGGTGCGCCTCCGCAGCTGTGGACCGCCGGATCTAAAATGGAACCGCATGATCCGGCCGTTGATGTTTTTGGCTCAAGAGATGGGGAATCAGGCACGACAAGACCGTTCTAACTTGCTATTCCGGGCGGCCGGCGTGCGACGGGATTCCTCGTGCCATTCTTTGAGATTGGCATGATCGCTTTAGGTTTTTATTCAAAACAAGGTTTACTTCGAGTCATTAACTTGAGAAATATAAGAGCACTTCAGACATTTACTTGAAACAAGACGCACTTCAAGCTCTTATTTGAGAAAATATGAACATTTTCAAGCTTCTATTTAGATTTTTCCCTTTTTAATTTAAAATATTTATATTTCGAGCAAACACTTTAGCCTAACATTTGTGGAAAATCTTTTCCAACAAGTTATTTTCCGGGAAAATGACGATATTTTATGATGTTTTGCTTAAACATGGAAATAAACTGGAAAATATTTTTGCATCATTTTGGTTAGAAAATCTAATTTAATTTTCCTAAATAGACAAACTCTATTCGAACGCTAGTAACTTACGCATGAGCAACTGGAAAAATTGAGTCTAGGCACCAAGGCCTCCCCGGTTTGGCCTCGATGGACCTTAACCCGGGCACAGGCATCAATCCCGAGTCCAGTCTCAAGACCTGGGGCACAAGCTTTGAGGTCTTGAGCGTGGGTGTCAAGGACTCGACCACGAGCACCAGAGTCCCAAGGCCGACCTCAATGGACAGGGGCGCAAGCATTGGGGTCCTGAACCTAGTCTCGATGGACCCAGGCGCAAGCACCGAGGTCATGCACTCGGCCTCGATACACTTGGTCCCCATCATGGGGACACGGATATAGACGTTAGGGACTCGAGCCTAGCCTCAATGAACCCGAGCCCGGTCTCGATAGACATGGGCGCAGCCTCGATGGAAATGAGCCTAGGCATCCGGGACCTAGGCACTAGTGGCAAGGTCAAGAGCCCCGCCTTGATGGATTCGGTCCCAAGCACAGGGGCTTGGGCATGGGCTCTATGGACCTGACCCTGGCCTCAATGGACCCATACTCAGGCACCAAGGACTTGGCCGTGAGCATTGGAGTCTCAGGCCCCGCCTTTGTAGACTCAAGCTGAGGTGTCAGGGAGTCAAGCAACAATACTGGAGTCTTAGGTCCAACTACCGCAGTTGGTGTCTCAAGCCCAACCTTTGTGGACCCAAGCCCGAGCAATGGGATTCTGAACTCGAGCTTGGCCTCAATAGACCCCAGTGGGCCCGACCCCGGCTCTAGACCTAGGTTTGTTGCCAAGGGCCTAGGAAAAAGCTTTGGAATTCTTATGCCCAAACGCAGATTTTCAGGTCCAAGAGTCGATATCATCATATTTTTGAAAAATAATTTTCGATCCTTAATTTAAACATATATTTACCATTGACTAGGATAACATTTTCCGCTGACTCATTTTCCTAAGAAATCCAAATGCCGAAAGATGAGGAAGGTGTTTTCCGCGAAACAAACGGAACCTAATGATCTTATATCCGAAGGCGCAAGCACCCTGTCCATCATTTTATATAGGGAAAACGACACAATCGGTTCATAAACTTTAGCTCAATGTGCAACGTGATCCATGAACTTTTAATTGGTTCAGTGTGGTCCCTTGACTTATAATATATAGTCAATTTAGTTCTTATATTATATTAAAATATTCAATTTCGCGCATTGGACTAAAATTCAAGAACTATTCGGGATAATTATCCGATTTTATAAGTCAACTGCCTAGCATTTTACTCATTAAACAAATGCCAATCTCAGTCCCCAACTATACCGTCGCGTAGCCTCACCACCTCCCCTCCTTCGGCGCCAAGTGTACGTCGCTTTGTCCCACCCTTCCGCCGCCTCCCACCACCCACGCGTCCTCCCCTCCTTCGGCAGCCTCGCCACCCAAGCCTCCATCCCCACCACGTTCCAGAGATCACCACCATTACCCGTTCGACAGATAAAAACGGTGCCCCTCTCGATTCCCAAAGCCCATCATCTCAACTCCCTCCCCTTCCATCCATATTCGACGTTGTTTCTTCTCTTGGCCTCTTTGCCTTAACCCCGTCTCCGATGGCTTCTTCCCAGGACCTCAAACAACGCACCAAACCGCACGACTCCTCCCCGGCCGACGCCGACGCCGGCGCCGCCGCCGCCGCCACGACTACCAAGGTCAAGCTGAGGCGCCCCGACAGGCGCACCATGGCGAAGCGTGGCCTCCGCTCCCTCGCCCTCGCCGTCTCCCTCCCGCTCTCCCTCACCCTCATCGATATCTACTTCTTCGGCTCTCTCGCCGCCGCCTCCGCAGCCGCCGCCGCCGCTGCCGCCGAGCCGGAGAGGCCGTTCGTCCCACCCCTCTGGATCCTGCACACGCTGTGTGCCGTCTCCAGCCTCCTGATGGGCCTCTCGGCGTGGCTCGTGTGGGCCGAGGGCGGCTTCCACCGCAGGCCCGTGGCGCTGCCGCTGTACCTGGCCCAGCTCGGGCTCGCCCTGGCATGGGGCCCGGTGGTGTTCGGGCTCGGGGCGGGCCGGGTGGGGCTGGCGGTGGCGGCGGGGATGGTCGCGGCGATGGTGGGGTGCTACAAGACGTTCGGGGAGGTGAACCCGATCGCGGGGGATCTGGTGAAGATATGCTTCGCGTGGGCGGGCCTCTTGTCCGTCGTGAATCTCAAGCTCGTATCCATGTGACTGAAAGCGATGATAGGGCCGCCATGTTACGTAGTAGCATCGGGCTTAGAATTTGTGTTCTAGGGACTCTTTTGTTTCGTGCGCTGGTATAGAACGTGAGTTGTCTTTTGTGGGTGAATCTTGTTGAGAGTGCCTTGATGTACATATGTTTCGAGGCTTCATGTCTCGTCCCCTTGAGGAGACGATATGCGTCTGTTGGCATCGCTACTTTGGGTTTGTTGTATCATCCTCGGCCATTTGGCCACTTTGAAACAATACCCTTTTCTAAATTCTGTGGTCGCGGTCTGATCATTGTATCCATAGGTACTTGGATACAGTGAAATGTGAACTATCACGCCTTAAATTTCACGAAGTGGGAAGAAAACTGATGATCTCGTGGGATAGACACTTTCATTTCAGAACCAACAGATTCTACAATTCCTCTCAAATTCTATATCTAGGAACGTCATTCTTGCGCTGCATTAGCATTCGCTCATTGCATCTCGCGAAGCTATTATCGCGAACGCCCGGCGATATTCAATCTGCAAAGTATTGGGAATTTGAAGCCAACCGAAAAGTGAAGAGTGCAAGAGTAACACAGGAAGCAAGACGTAGAAAGTTCCCCAGCAAATGCATGGCGTACTGGACTAAAAGTGAAGATGGTCGCCTAAAATGTTCATTTCCCAAAGAGAGACAGAAACTGCCGTGCCACTTTCTTTCTGATTTACAGCTTCGAAAGCCCTAGACTCACTCAGAAAAGCCAGGAGGCAAACAGGTACCCGAAAATGACAAAGTTGCTCTCTTGAACTAAATTGACCATTGCAGAGGATTGTTTGTGTCAATCAATCTCGGTATCTATCAACAAAAACCTTCCACGAAGACGAAACTTCTTCCTGAGATGAGCTAATACGCTGCTACTCGGCGATGGAAAGCTTTCTCAGTGTAATAGAAATTCTTCTCCTCTGATCTAGCTCCTGCCCTTGCCATACCTGAAATCCCGGTTTGCGATTTATCTCGTGTTTCCAGAGGTAGCGAGCTTCTCCCGACATGATAACTAAGGAACCGGGAGCCAGATAGACCGGTACTTTAGACATTGGCTGCTCGTTTTCCCCTTCGCTGCCGGTGTCGCACGTATCTCCGGCCCGGGTGAAGTGCATGATGCATGGAGACTCGAGGGATACGATGGCAATTCCATCGCCAAAGCGCATTAGATCAACATGTGCACAAATACCCTGCGAGCACAAATCACCTAGTAAAGGAACCATTGTAGAAAATGGCTTAGACATAGACAAAAAGCATTTTAAAGTTAAACAAGTACATAACAAAAGAGTCAAGGCATACAATCCCTTCCAACACAAGATATCAAACAATTTATCAGAATGACCAAGAAGATGCGTGGTTGAGGAGGCAATTAACAGCGATCGGAAACTTTATTCTTGAAAAGTTTAAATATCGATGCACTCGGACAAAGCAAAAGCATTGCTGCTCAAGTATTGTTTCAAGATAAAATCTTTTTAATACTGCAATGAGATGAATCGTATGAAGTACTAAACAATATCTTACCTCGCCCGGTCGGTATAAGTTCACGATAAGTTGATCAAAGAGAGGCTCTCTTCCCAGTAATTCCAATGGCAGGATAGGAAAGAGAGAAGAATCCTCATATGCATCTGCATTCGACGACTCGAACTCTGGATCAAAGTCCCCTAGCAACACCGCCTCGCGAATAGAATTAGAAAGCTCAGTTGCCCATGCTGGAAGACTCCCAAACCTCATGGCCTGCAGAGACAAAACACAGGATGATACCAATTCGGTACATGGCTAATCACGGCCGGAAGCTATTTTGCTCTGCCATGGTGCCATTGGAATGCGAACGCCCTGCACGTAGTTTTCAGTAACTTGAGCTATTCAATCTGCATTCCCGTCATATAATTATGGAGCCGACAAGAAAGTGCACGCAACAGAAAGGAACGCCACTAAGAAATTGTTCCCAGCTACGAAAGGCCCGTCAATCTCTCAAAAATCAATGCACCCAAATCTAAAAGACAGTAAGAGTTATCCATCTCCCAGCAAGCCGCAAAGAGTAAATCATCTCAAGCACACTCGTATCATCTCCCCAATAAACTCAGAAATCTAGATGTGCATACACATTCGCGCACGACACTCGCTCGTGACATTTGCAGCGATCGCAAATGTACAGACCAACATAACCGCGTTCATCGATCTAAAATCACAACATTAGCAGCCTAGCTAACACGCGAGCACGTGGCTCGTTACCAGTGTTCAAACACATATTCGACCTACTATTGCTACACATCAAGTCACAGAGGTTAAATCAAATGGAGCCTTCTGCTCTCGTGCGACGCGGGGACAAGCCTGATCTAAACAGGGATTTCAGGAGAAATCCCATAACAGACGGTCCACCTACATCGCCGATTCAAGCTAAGCGAAAACCGAAGCCGGCAACATTCACATCGCCGCCGGTCGGGGAAGAAGCCGGTCACCGGCACGACTGAGGAAGCACAAAATTTAGCAGCGACGCCACACATGGCTGCACCTATCAACCGAGCGGCATAATTTCATCACTCCTTGAGGCACGCACAACCACAAGTGCTTATTGATCGCCGGCGGGGGGGCGATGCATTACCTGGTTATGCGAAGCTTCCATGAACCATCCCTCTACAAGAAGAAGGCACAGCACAGAACACACGAATCAGCGAAAACGCCGCTCCTGGTCCTTGTTCCACTACCCTCCGGCGATCGAACCAAAAAAACGAACCTCGCGATTACGAGAACGAGACGCACCTTCCTCGACCGCAGAGAGCAGAGAGTGCTGCTGTTCCTGGGAGAGGAAGCCGCCGCACAGCCACAGCCCGTCGATCTCCCCGACCGGCGCCCAGGTAGGGCCCCGGCGCGGCGTCGGCCGAGGAGACGGACGCGACGGAGGCTCCTCCCGCTCGCGACCGCCGCGAGCCTCGGGCCCGCCGAGCTGACCGCCTTCTTCGTCGGACGATTCGCCGAACGCTCGCTTGAGAAGCGCCGCCGCGTCGTCGCCGCCGTCCATTTCCGTCGCCGCCGCGTGGAGATCGGTTTCGCCGCCGCTTCGCTGTTACCCGAGCACAGATGAAACGGTTGGCTTTCCTGACCCGATTTGTGCTGTTCGTTTGTTAACAAGGGATCATGGAGGGGGAGTTCTAGTTAGGTAAATAACTAAATTTCAGCCGCTGAATTTTGATTTCGATCACATTAATGCATCAATGTGAGTCGGATCTTGGTCAAGGCAAAAACAAATAAAGTTTGGTTTTTTTGAAATCAAATTCGCGATGGAAAAATCGATAAAATTTAGTAATCGATAATAAAAGTTACCCAGCTGATAATGGACGTGACCCTGAGTCGTTATGGGTATCATTTTTTCCGTTTTTGGATGATACCGAAATTTCAAATAACAGCTAAACTTAAAAGGATGACTCGTTTCGCTCGGGACAAAGCCCTTTCTAAACTTAAAGAACGATATGCGGCACTTTCCTCGAGTATTGTTTCGTTATAGCTGTTTAACTCTTCGTCTATTTTTATTATTTATGTGATTACACACGATTTCTCAATAGGAAGAATGCCATTGTTTTCAAGAGATAAGTGCACTAGAAATCATAAAACTTATCACGAAAATGTAACTGAAAGCTAAAACTTTCAAAAAGTGCAATTAAGTCATAAAACTTGCCATCAAAGTGCAATCGAGTTCTAAAACTTTCAAAAAATGCAATCAACGAAAGGATTTTATATTTAATTGCACTTTTTAAAAAGTTTTAGGACTTAATTGCACCTTCATAACAAGTTTTAAGACTACACCTCGTAAACTTCGAATAAAAAGGAGATATTACACTACACCCCGTAAAACTTTGGATTACTACGCATTTGCCCCCCTGAAGCTTCAAACACTACAATGCCTCGTGAACTCTCGATGAATTTTGTTAAATTTTTCCCCTTTTTTTATGAAAATAAATGGAGAACAAACACCTATATCTAGAAGGAGGGGGGGGGGGGGGGGGGAGGGGGGAGTTTGAAATTTGGAAAGTTTCAGGGGTCAATATGTACTACGCAGACTTTCACTACTCTTCTTTACATCAACGGCGGTCATTTTAGCCAAAAAAAAAAAAAAAACGGCGGTCATTGTGTTCTTATTTGATCTTCAAAATCGTCCCATCTACTTTTTTTTTTTTCTCTTCGACAAACCGTCCGTATACTTTAACGGTATTCTCACGAGTCGCATCTTTTCCTTATGCGGCACGATGCGCCTTAGCAATGCAGAAGATTTTGGAAAAATTCCAACAGAGCATCTTCGAAATCCTCACTAAAGCTCATGACCACACAGCACGATGTGGGGGCGTGCACCCCCACGCGATCGTGCACAGCATTGAGCTGCGATGCAGCCCAGAGTTGGTGATACTGGCTTCGTCGAGGCGACTAACAACGTGATCTATTGGGAAAATTCATCACCGGAACAAACGAAAGGCGACCGGAGACCCTTTTTTGTCTTGAAAAAAAGAGAGTAGCTGGACAACGTTGATTTTAAGTAAGATTCCACAGATCACCAGTAGCAATATCCCTTCCCAAAACAATTGCCGCTGGGCAAGAAGAATGGCTTTGGCAGTCACAGTTAAGACAATGAACCATTCCACAGAGCAAATATACAGCAAGCCTGGAGCATATGCCATCCAAACACAATTAAAGAAACCATAGGCACCATCGACCACGAGAATTTCGTGTTAGATGTCACTCATGCGTTCTTTGTACAGACTTTGTGCAAGTGTTCGTATGGCAACTTCGACCCTACCGAAATCTATTGCGGCATAGACACTATTGGGCATGTAATGTTAGCAACGGGACAATCTGAGGCCAGCCACTAACCAAGAAGCCAGTTCCTTGACATGCACAAGATGACAATACCCCGCTATTCGATCACCCAGATGTTTTCACAAGGATATGAAATTCACTGCATCTAATTAGAAAATCTTTCGAGAGAAGACGACAATATTATTCGATTTTCCTCAATAATCCATCTCATACTTGATATAATCTATCAAGTAATATAAAATGAACAGAGCAGGGAGAGTTCCAAGTAAAAAAAGAACATAAGACCCAACAAATGAGCTGCAAAATTAAGGTCCAGGGATGGCATTTCAAAAGTGGGCTAGTAAATTGAGTACGTCTCACTAACCCCGGGGCGGAGGCTCTTATAGATGGCTGTCACGATGGGAAGGATACCCACGAGTGCAATCTGAAGCTGCTCGGAGCTGCTGGTACGAACCGTGATTTGTCCACTTAGCTTGTTGTTTAATCCAGCACGTACCGCAATCTTAGAACTTCGTCCAACAGAAAACTGAGACTGCAAATTAGCACCTAACGCAAGATCCCCTCTCCACTTCACAAGGGACAAGCTCATAGAAGACTGATCCTGGCCCACAGGGAAGTCCGCCTCCCTGAGCCGCACTTCGAGATTGGCTCCATATGCCGCATCGCTGTTGGATCTAACAGTTCCAGCGCTACCCACCAGCATCACACGCTTTCCAAGGGAAATTTGGTCCTCAACTTTAAAACCAGTGGCTATGTTCTCGCCTAAAAACGTAACAGAAAAGCCAGCAGCAGTCTTGTTCTTTTTAAAGTTCTTGAATTTAGTGTCCCCACGGACAATGTAGGCAAGTTGTTTGCCAATATTTTGGATGTCGAAACCTGCCATGGTTGATCCATTGTCGCCGTGCTTCGCAGCAAGTGAAGAATCCAAGTGGATGTTGAATTCTTTCTTGTCTTTGGTGATCTGCAGCGCAACTGCTCCAGGGAATCGACTGGCGATGGCTAGACTCTGCTCGAGGTTTACCCCATCATAACCACAATCATGATCCCAACCATGTGTGTCCAGAACGGGCCTTGCTATGAACTGTGAAGTTGGCTCCAGAAAGCGGTACCTGCAAAGAGAGACTATTTTAGGGCCAAAAATTTAAAGCGTTAACATTGTAAGACATTATTTGAGGCAAAAAGTTTTGTATGTTTAGGCTTAACAGACATTCAACATAAAAATGAAAATGTAAACACTATACTTATGCACGCAATACTTCCGCAGCCAAAAATATCATTTCTTCTCTTCCTGCAATCTTTTCTATCCATGCCAACATGCCCTCAAGAAGATCATACCTGTAAGCAGGATTGTCACTGTCGAAGGACGGTGGAAGAGCCATATCATGCAAAGGAACAGGCACGGCAGCTGGACTTCCATCCTCCGGATCAGCATCCTCTCCCATATAATCGTACTCATCAGGAGAAACCTTTCCTTTCTTCTTAATCTCTCTCATTCTTTTCAGCTCCTCTCTCCACTGTTTCTTCTGCAGAAGTTTCACCCTGTAATCATACTCCTCAAAATATGCTTTTCTCTGTTCCTTACTAAGCTTAGCAATTTGAGATTTCCTGAGTGGCTTAAACGGAGGAAGCTGGTCATACTCATCCTCTTCATCTTCTTCGTCAGAATCAGATGAATAAGCCATATCAACATCAGAATCACCATTCTCCAGACCCTGATCAGAGGAGAGTTTGGGGTGTGTGCGAGACTGCAACAACCAGGATAACAGGTATGGAAGTGGAGGCGAGCGGACACGGAAACCAAACAGCTTGCGGTGATCGAATGGGTCTTGAGGTTTTGAGAGAGAATTTGCTTCTGCTAATATCTTCATGGAGAAGCACAACAATAGCAATTGAGGTCTCCAGGTTTGGCCATTTGGGAGCACCTTCTCACCATCTCGATTCTTCCGACACGATGGGTGATTCTCCACAAGGGAAACTGGGTTCATCAGACTTGGATTCATAAGCCGTAAATCACCTACAGCCTGTCCGATAGATTGCTGAACAACGTGGGAACGCTGAGCAACAAACACCTCATAACTAAGTGGAGAACCAGATGGTCCATCTGGTGGAGCAGAAGCACCATGGGTAAGAGTGACAACAGCACTTCGCCAGATTGATGGGCCAAGGGCACTGGTGATCGATTTTAGCAATGGTAAATCATTGAGGTCTCTCGTTTGGGTGTCAAGTCGATCCACATAAAGTACGATATCTGGCGGGCATTTCTTGGTGAACTTCTTTATAGAAGAGAAGATTCTACGGTTTTCATTTTGTTCCATAACAGATGATTTTAAACCAGGAGTGTCAAAGACCCTGATCTTAACTCCATGAACTGTTCCAGTTATCTCTTTCACTGCTGTTGTGGCGGGTTCAAACGCGTGGATCATTGCCTTATCCTCACCAAGAAGAGAGTTAATGGTTGCACTTTTGCCCACTCCAGCTTTTCCGAGAACCAATATGTTCAAAGAGAAGTCCAAATCATCTTTCTTTTCCAGTTCAAGCTCAGAGGCCGTCTTTTTCGCTGAGTCGAGGCTAAATGATTGACCAGCTTGCCTCCCAGCAACAAGCGCCAACCTGTACAGAACTTGAGCTGCCAGTGAATCTTCCGGAGAATAACCTACCCTTTGAACAAGCCTTAGGAATTTGACCCTCAACTGCTGAATCTTCTCTAGTTTCTTCCTTTCTTCTTCAGTCAAATTGTTGTCGGACTCCACAGGAGTCAGATCAGAAGTAAAAAGACTAGAACGGTTTGGTCGGGAGACAGGTTTCACCGACCTAAGAGAGGACCCCAACCCAGCAGGACGCTCGACAGAGAACAGCCTCGAACCATCTTGGGAGGTTATAGTGATGTTTCCTCCATCTGAATCAGCACCTGTTGCAGCTTTTAGCAGAGCAGCCAAAGCAGCCGAATCAAACAACTCCTTACCATCACCGTCCTCATCGGTGTCGACTTCTTCATCAGAGTCGGTGACAATCTGACCATCGATTCTCTGTGGATGATCATGAGAACTTTCAGCACCAGATCGAGAACCAGCACCTCTTTCCAGTTCCTCCAAGAACTGTTTGGCAGCTTGGGAGCTTTCAAAAAGCATACTTCCTTTTTCTCCATCAGTATCTGAACCTTCCATGTCCGTTTCTTCATCCACCTGAAGTTTATCGTCATCTCCAGCTTCCACAGACACATCTTGGTCATATGACAGAGATTGCACTGGAACCCCTCTTTCCACTCCAAGCCCCTTAACTTCGGCGATAATTTCATTATTCTCCAGAGGTTTC